ACCCGGGACAGAGCACGGCGCACCATCACCCTGACTCAGTCACACATGGTGCACCAGGTCCTTCAGCGCTTCGGCTTCCGGTACTCTTCGCCATAGTCCACTCCTCTGTCTACCGGTCACTCGCTCTCAGCTCCATCTTCGGACGAGTCCGTAGAGCCGAGTGGCCCGTATCCAGAGCTTGTGGACTGCCTCATGTACCTGATGACCTGCACTCGACCTGACCTTGCCTACCCTCTTAGCATCCTGGCACGCTACGTTGCGCCCGGGAGACACCGACCAGAGCACTGGGAGGCCGCTAAGAGGGTGTTGCGCTAGTTGTGCAGTACGTCGGGCATGGGGCTCGTGCTTGGAGGACGGGGTCCAGTTGTCCTCACTGGCCACGCAGACGCGTCTTGGGTTGACGACTTGGCTATGCAGCGATCGTCAAAGGGTTATACTTTCAACCTTGGCTCTGGCTCTGTTTCTTGGTGGTCTACCCGCTCGTCTTCGATTCTCAGTTCCAGTTGTGAGGCTGAGATCTACGCAGTGGCCATGGCTGCACAGGAGTTACGCTGGCTCACCTACCTGCTGACCGACTTGGGAGAGTGGCCTCGTTCTTCTCGAGTTCTGTACGTAGACAACAAGGCCATGATTGCCTTGTGTTAGGAGCACAGACTGGAGCACAGAATGAAGCACATCGCTCTGCGTTACTTCCTTGCTCTAGAGTTGCAGCAGCGTGGTCAGCTTTATCTTGCTTACGTGGCCACTAGGGCCAACACTGCTGATATATTCACCTAGGCACTTCAGTCTGGTGATCATCAGCGTTTCTGTACTGTTTTAGGCCTTGTGCCTAGTTTGCCTCACTTGCTCACTGCGTGACTTTGCTTGTACTGTGATCTATATATATACCTGCATGCTTACACTTGCTAGGGTATGATCATTGTACTGTTTGTTCTCATTTATATAACTCTGCATGTGAACTGGCCTTGTGGCCTTTGCTTGTGCTCGGAATGTGTGGTGACTTCGTGATCCAACCTGAGCTTGCTTTGCTTTTCTTGACTGGTCTTGTGATCACTTGTTCTCCCCCACTTTGCCTATGGGGGTGTGTCAAAATGTTATATTGCTTACTTTGTGTAGGCTATAGTGGGGTAGCCCAGAAGGGGTACAACCCAATTAGGGTTAGTACCTGTACCCAACTCTTTCAGAGTTTATTCATTCTCGTTCGTTAGTTTGACAGGCTGTTATGCTGTTGGGTTGTTACGCTGAGCGGGCGGTGCAGCGTATGAGCGGGCGGTGCAGCGTACCGTAATACCCCGGATAGTAGCGCATATGCGCTTATAATAAATTATTTTTTTGTAGGGGGGGCGCTTGTAATTGAGTAACGGCCATAAGCGCCGGCGCTTGTATAAAGGCAAAAATGAATTTCTCTGTAAAGGATATCATTCTAAAGCCGTGAATAAGGCGAATACAACACTGTACCATGCACGCGGGGCCGTGCATGGAATGACGGCGAAACTTGCCACGGTTCGATTTCCCACCGCACAAAACCCGTCCCAGTGCAACGCACCTGCCAGCGCTGATGCAAAACGTGCCGTGCGGCCCAATCAGGTTGGCATGCGCTGCCAGGCAGGAGCATCTCGGCAGAACCATCCAGAACGTGATGGAATCTGCCGTGCCAGCGCAGCATGGATGGTGCCCCCAACCCTCCTCTGCGGGTTGGGGCAGGGGTGTACTCGTCTCTCATCGACGAGGACCCCGAGCCACAAACCAGAAGGGGTCCCCTTCAATCTCCCATTTCAACACCCAGGCGTGCAGTTTTTTATTCAGTCTTCTTTTTCTAGCCCGCCTGGCTGCGGAAGCCATGGCGGAATTCACAGGCACTCATTTTCTCTTCAAGAAAAAACCTTCTAGTAGGCCCGCGTACCGTGTTACAGCTGACGGGTGGTATAGCCGCATACCTCCAGACCCTCCAGAGCCACCACGGCCTCCTGCACCGCCTGCTCCTCCGGCTCCTCCAGTGCCTCCGACTCCCCCTGCTCCTCCTGTTCCTCCTGTTCCTCCGTGTCCGGTGGCCCCTCACATTGACAACCACCCCGTGCACACGCTCCTGCTCCCATCGGCGTTCGACGAGTATCTGTCGGAACCGGATTATGACAAGGGCCCCGATGTTGACGTACCCGCTCCAGCGCCAGCACCACATTGGGGCCAGCCATAAGATTTCATGTGGGATGAATCTGCAGTCGGCGCTGACGACGACGTGCAAGACGCCGAGGAAGGTTGGTGCGCTGAGGGCGACGCCGGCGCCGAGGGTGGCACTGAGGCCGACACCGAGGCCGCTACTGAGGCCGGCACTGCTGAGGATGTGTTTCCCGAGGGTGCGCCGGGCGGTGACGACGACGACGGCGTCGAATACTGGTCACGCGATGGCCTCCTCGAGAAACTCCCGATACCAACTTATCCTCCACGTAATCGAAAGCGACCTCACCCTTCTTCACAGAACCGTGATTCTCGCCCCCCCTCTCCCAGGCACAAGCCCAACGACCACAAGCGTCAGGCCTATACTGCCGCCGAGAAGTTGAAGTGGGTCGCGCAGCTGGATGTGGCGGTGTCGGTGCGCACTCTGGCTCGCGAGAGTGGCATCCACCGCAAGTGCCTCGCCAACTGGAAGCGTGCCGCTGATTTCCTCAAGGAAGCCCACTCTGCCAGGTGCCGCATGCACGGTCGCGGCAGGGCGTCGTGGTACCGCCCGATGGAGATTAAGGTGTATGAGCGACTGCTCGACTGGCAACGCAAGGGAACCGCGGTGTCCGTCGGCCGCCTGCAAGAGTGGTCCCGGGAGTTCATGAAGATTCTCTACCCCCTCGTGAAGTGGAAAGGGAGCCAACGGTGGTCGGACCGGTTCCGTCGGCGGTGGAATCTCCGCGTGCAAATGAAGACGAAGGTCGCCCAGAAAACCGCCGCCCGTAAGAATCATTTTTATTCTCTATGCCATGTGTATGCACTTGTTACTCACTAACCGTAACTGTGCTCAACCGCAGATGTCACGGAGCAATGCAAGAAGTTCTGGCAATTCGTCCGTGACAAGCGTCGGGAGCGCGGCATTGAGACGACGTGGATTATCAACGCCGACCAGACGCCGCTGTGGCTGGAGATGCCCACCACCACTACCGTCGATCAAACCGGTGTTCGGTCGGTGCCCATCAGGAGCGCAGGGTACGAGAAGGAGCGCATGACCGTGATGTTGGCGTGCACGGCGGACGGGATGAAGCTGAGGCCGTGGGTTTTTTTCAAGCGGAAGACCGTGCCGAAAGAGGTGTTCCCGCCGGGTGAGTCATGATTCTTGTTTGTTTGCTTTACACCGGTCCTGTTTTTAAAGAGACTTACAGAAGCTTGTTTGTTATGCAGATGTGGTCGTGTCGTGTCACGAGAACGGCTGGATGGACGCCAACGGCATCATACAATGGCTTGAGGAGTGCGTCAAACCTTTTCTAAAGTCTGGGTTCGGGAGGCATGCGCGGACCTCGATGGTCGTACTGGACTCGTACCGCGGTCACCTCACTGAGGCCGTTAAGGAGAAGTTTCGCGAGCTCAACTGCGTGCCGGCGATCATCCCGTCTGGCTGCACGGCGGAGGTACAGCCCCTCGACGTCTCCATCAACAAGAGCTTTAAGGCGAGCGTCCGCTAGCAGTATCAGAAGTGGTTTCAGGAAGAAGGCCAAGAACAGCTAACCATAGCAGGTACGGTAGCCACGCGAGTCCCTATCTTACCGTAGATGATTTTCCCCCCTTTTGTTGCGCTAACTATATATCGTGTGATTCTGTTGGTACAGGGAGCTTGAAGAAGCCACCCCCAGATGTGGTCGTGATGTGGATCTCACGGGCTTGGGAAGCAGTGCCCGCCGACCTCATCAAGCGCGCCTTCCTCACTTGTGGCATCAGCAACGCGCTTGACGGCAGTGAGGACGGCCTCGCCATGGCGCACAGGCGGAGCCAGCTGACCGCGGAGGTGGACGTCGATGACTCCATCATCGCCGATGGCTTATTTGGCAACAACTGCCAGGAGCCCGAATCCGACAAGGAGGAGTAGATTTTCTAGGTAGAGATGCTAAACTTTGCAATCTGTAGCTAGATAAAATTGTCAGTGATGATGTTAATTAGAGATGTTTAGTATTAATTAGAGATGTTTTTTTGTAAAAAGTTCTCCACAACGTGAAAAGGGTGCGCTTATAATAAGTACACCCACTAGAGGGGGGGCGCTTATAATCGAATTCCGGCCATAAGCGCCATGCTCCAGATAGAAGCGCCGGCGCCCTTAATCGGACGGCGCCTATATCCGGGGCCATACGGTATGAGCGGGCGGTGCAGCGTATGAGCAGGCGGTGCAGCGTATGAGCGGGCGGTGCAGCGTATGAGCGGGCGGTGCAGTGGATGTGCGTGCGGTGCGGTGTATGGGGGTGCGGTGCAGTGCATGTGCTGTGCGTCCGGTGCAGTGTATGAGCGTGCCATGCTCTGTGCTGTGCCATGCTCTTTTCTGTGTGTTTGGTATAAGTCGTGCGCTGTGTCCTTGTGTGGCATAATGACTTTTGAGTGAGGCTACCATACATCAGTTGTGGAGGTGTGATATGCTGTGACATGGTGTGGGATATCATATGTTACTGAACAAGAGCTCTGTACTGTTCCATGCAGCTTGCAAGGCTTTCATGATCAGCAGCATGGTACAATAGTATCAAGACCCTTCCGTACAGAGCATAATTTTTCAATCCAGTGGTGGTTAATATCAGGCAATATGCTGCGAAGTCAACACTTCAATCTCCCCACATCTAACCCTGTCTGTTCCTGCACTCCAATTAAATCAGTAGTAGCTACTTCTGTCAGTGCCCGCCCACCCGCCACTACCAGTACCTGCAATGCGCACTCAAGAAACTCCTACCAGTACACATTAAGAGGAATCTGTACACAACCTGCAAAATTGCTTCCTCACACGATTCACCCATCACCCATCCACCCACATCACCCTTCCATCACCGCGCCACACGCCACACCCCCACCCCCATCATGGGCTGCCCTTTCCATGTCAGCAGCAGGCTCCCCTCTTCATCCTCCACGCCAAAATCTGCAGGATACCTTACCATCACCGTCTCCACCTGCACGCGCGCCCGCGCCGGGTACGGCACTGCTGCAAACCCTGCCTCGCCCATGCGCCAGTTCCACTTCCCCAGCGGCTCCGATCGCACCACCCTCAGCGCCCCCTCACACGCTATCACATTCACAAGGTCCCGGCCGATCACCACCTGCTCGAAGACATCTCGTGATGCCTGCACGCGCGGGACGAGGCCGGCTTCGAGGGATTCAAACACGGAGAGGTACCAGGGGAGGGCGTCGGCCATGCGGCGCAGGAAGAAGGGCCCGTCGTGGTCCACGTGTCTCTCTCCCAGCACCACTGCATGCGGGTTCAGCCTGCGGATGGCACGCAGAGCAGCGTCGCGCGGGGAGTGCCGCACCACGGACCCACTAGGCAGCGTGTGCAAGCGCATGATGCCATTCACCACCAGCACCTCGTCCCCTGCCCCCCTCCCTGCTTCCACCGCCGATAACACCTGCCTCACATCCGCCGCTCCGGCTATCGGCAGTGTCGCGGACGAGTGGCGCTGGTGCTTGTGGGGCCGGTGCGCGGTGCCCGACTGGTTGCTGCACGTGCCGTCTCCCCCGCCCCCGCCACCACCGCCGCTGCCGCTGCCGCTGCTGTTGCCACTGCTGCTGCTGAGGCACCTGGCGGCAGCGGCGGGGGAGAGCGGGTCGAGGCCGAGAATGCGGCGGTCGAGGCGATCGAGAGAGCACTCGACTGCTTGGAAGACCAGGCGGATGCCCGCTGCTGCTGCTGCCCGCTCCAACATGTCCTGGCAGTGGTCCGTGGGCAGCTGGGAAAAGTTTCGCTCCGGGCACATGGAGGGCGGGGTGTCCACCTGAGAGCAAGTGAGCAGAGATAGGGGAGAGAAACGGCTTTGAGTTGGTGGAGTTTGTACACTGAGCGGATTGAGCGGCGACATCCATGCAGGCGAGAGGGGTATGCAGGGATGAAGACCACAGAGTGGCAAGAGGACAGAGCAGAGTGCAATGTTCTAAGGGTAAGAGCGCAGAGGGCAGAAAGCAGAGGTCAGAGGTCAGGGGGCAGACAGCACCACCAAGCAGCGAGCATTGAGCATTGATGGCAACCTTGGTGAACTTGAGAAGAGGCTTGGGGCCGGGGAGAGTCCCTAGCGCTGCAATGAAGCCGGGCCACTGGCCAGCGAACCACCAGCCGATGTCCACCACGTGCACGATGGGGTGGTGCCGCACTGCCTCCACTATGGCTGCATTGCACGCCACCACCATGAAGCGATGGTGCGGCATCACAAATGACAGGTCCGCCATCTTGCTCAACACGTCCTGAGAGGGCGGGAGAGAGGAAGCCAGAGAGGGGGAGAGAGAAAGAGAGTGAGATCGAGTGAGATAGAGACAGCAGGTGGGGAAGAGAGATGGGGGGGTGGGGGGCATGTGGGCATGGAGAGCGGAAGGAAGGAGAGCGGATGAAAGGAGAGGGCGCAAAAATGTGGTTGTTTGTGATTGGGGCAGTGCATGTGCCCACCCACACAGAGTCACCACCTGCAAGTAGTTGGCCTCTTTGAAATCAGCACCTGTATGTAACGAAGCCACCTGCACACTGCCTGAGCTCACTCACTCTCTCACTCTCTCACACACACGCACGCACGCACGCACCTCGCTGACAGATAGCGCGGTGTTGGTGTTCCAGCGTTTAGCACCGTCGCCCATGACGCGCGCTATGAGCCCCTCCAGCACGTAGTGCACCAGCCGCTGCTCCGGTGCCCCCCGCCTGTCCGCATGCAGCCGCAGCTCCTCCGCCAAACTCCATATGCGCGCCTGGGGGGCGTGTGAGGCCGGGTGGGGGAGAAGGGTGTGGTGGGGTGGGAGATTGGCCCAGGAGGAGAGAGAGTGGGGGGGAGAGGAGGAGGTGGGGCAGGGAGTAGGAGACATGTTGATTAAAGACGAGAAAGGAGATGGTGGATGCTCACATGACTCTGTTGGCAACGCAAGGCAGCATACTGCCTGCATCGCCCTGGGATCCCGCTGACCCTCCCGCATACCTGTCACCCACCCACCCATCCACCAACCTACCAACCCCACGCACCCACCCACCCACCCACCCATGCACCCACCCACCCACGCACCCACGCATCCATCCACCCACCCACCCACCCACGCACCCACGCATCCATCCACCCACCCACCCACCCACACACCCACGCATCCATCCACCCACCCACCCACCCACGCACCCACTCATCCATCCACCCACCCACCCACCCACGCACCCACTCATCCATCCACCCACCCACCCACCTACGCACCCACTCATCCATCCACCCACCCACCCACCCACCTACGCACCCACGCATCCATCCACCCACCTACCCACCCACGCACCCACGCACCCACGCATCCATCCACCCACCCACGCACGCACCTCATCCTCGCCGGTGGCAACAGCTTCGCCCAGAATGAGCAGTCGCTCCATCACAGGGTGGCTTAGCGGCGCCCTGCCCACACTGCCACCGCTGCCGGCACTACCAGCGCTGCCAATGCTGCCGCCCTCTCGTGCTTGCACTCCCCCTGCTGCTCCCCGGAACCGAACCACCTGCTGCCGGATCTCTTCTCTCTCCTCCTCACCCTGCCTCTCACACTCCTGCTCCCGCTCCCGCTCCTGCTGCTGCTGCTGCTGCTGCTGCTGCTGCTGCTGCTGCATATTTTGCTGCTGCTGGCCGTGTTGCTGCTGTTGTTGCCGCTGCTGCAGTCGCTGCTGCAACTGTTCCTGTAGAGGAAGCGAAGAACCACGGGTGTGCCATCCACTCCCCTGTAACTGCACCGCATCCCTCTCAACCCCTCCTCTGCTCCCTCCATCTGCTCCTGCTCGCTGCTCCGCCTCCCCCACACCCTCACCTGCACGCGCCATGCCTGCTCCCTCCTGCCTGTCCGTGGCACCACCAGTGCCTAGCTTCCAGAAGTCAAGAGCCATCCCGCCACCTACTAACTCTCCCTGCATTGCGCCCATGGCTCCGCCAATGGTTCCGCCCATGAATGCGCCCAGGGCTGCGCCCAGCTCCCCGCAGCTCACAGCCGCAGCTGCAGTCCCCAGAGGCGCTCCCCTGGCAGCAGGCGCAGCTACACCCCATGGCAAGCCTCGCCTTGCCACTGCCTCCGCACCCACCAACCCCTGCCCGCCAGATACCTGCCCACCTAGTCCCAGCAAGCCTAAACCCAGCCCGCCTAGTCCCAGCCCAGCGCCCATGACAGGAGCTGCAACTGAGACCGGAGGTGAGCCAGCAGGGGAGGAGAAAGCAAACCCGGTAGGTGCTGCTCGGTTCGCACCCATCCATGCACTGCGCGCTGCACCCATCCACACGCCTGCTGCTGCACCCGCAGCAGGCCCACCAGCACCACCAGCACTGCCAGTACCGCCATTACTGCCAAAAACGCCAGCGCCGTCAGTGCCGCCAGCACCAGCGCTGCTGCACGCACCAGAGGAGGTTCCTCCCGGCTCGAAGCCGATGCCAAGGCAGAAGGCGGGGGGGTGGTTCGCTGTGCCGCTGCGTGCCGCATGCCCTGCGAACAACAGGCCTGGGCCTGCGACAGGCGAGGATGACCCCTGCCGAAACACACCAGGGTTCTGCTGCGGGAATGGGTTGAAGACTCCAGACATGGTCGTGGGCCGTTGGAGGAGCGGAGAGGGGCCGTGAAGGCTGGTTATTCTGTCGAACGTGGCAGCCATTTCCTTCTGCTTCCACGATTCCACTGCCTCTATCCATTCCCTCTTCCGCCCTATCGTCGCCATCTCCCTCTCGCGCTCCCTCTCGCGCTCCATTTCCCTCTCCCGCTCCTTCTCCCTCTCCTTCTCCCGTTCCCGCTCTCTCTGCCTCTCCCGCTCCCGCTCCTTCTCACGTTCCCTCTCCCGCTCTCGCTCCCGTCGTTCCCTCTCCTGCCTTTCCCGTTCTCGTTTCCGCTCCCGCTCCTGCTCCTCCAGCCTCTCATCGTACTCCTCGCCGAGGGCTGCTGCCAGCCTGCGCGCCAGTGACCGTTCTGCCTTCTTCGCCGCTGGTGCCGCTGCTTCTGCTGCTGCTGCTGCTGCTGCTGCTGGCCCTGCTGCTGCTGCTGCTGCTGCTGCTGCTGCTGCTGCTGCTGCTGCTGCTGCTCCTTCGCCAGTGTCCACGTCTTTGATTTCTGCATCGCTGCATGCTCCACCGGGCCCAAGAGCAGCAGCCTGAGCACCTGCTACCGACATCACTGGCAAAGGCGACGCTGCTTCTGTCGTCGCACCCATTGCCGTCCGTACACCTGTTTCCACCTCTGCTACTTCCACCTCTGCTGTTGCTGCAGCTGTTTCTGCTGCTGTTGTTACTCGCACGCTGTTGACTAGACCTAAGCCGTTCCTTAACTCTCCTGCCTTATCAGCTCCTAGACTGCCGCCCATCTCCATCCCTAACCCGTCCTGCCCGCACACACCCTCTCTCAGCGCATCGTTCATGTCACATATTGAATCGCGCACGCCCAAAGCCTCTTCTCCACTCCTATCACCACCACCCTCTGCAAGATCCGATCTGCTCACCGCACACGCACCCGCCGCACCCGCCGCACCCGCACCCGCATCCGCACCCGCACCCGCATCCGCAAACCCACTCACCCCCGCACCCGCACTCGCCCCTGACGCCCTAATGGCGCGGCCGCTCAGTGCAGGGACCCCGCCCAACTCGTTTTCCCCGCCTATCCCCAGCTGCGCCAACGCCCCCGCCGCTCCCCCGGCCGGCGCCTCTCTCCCCGCGCCATGCAGCCACCATTCCCCCTCCCCAGCGGCAATGGCGGAGTCGAGCCACGCGACAGCGGCGGCGGCGGCGGCGGGGGTACTGCCCTCAGGACCCCCCCAAGGCCTGCCGCCCACCGTTGAAACCGGAGGGCTGCTGTCGAAGCCCGCGGGTTGAACGGATGGGAGGAACGCGCCATTGGCGGCGGATCCGCCGGCGGCGGCGATGGAAGGGAGACCGTCGGTACCAGTCACGGTAGCGGCGACAGGTGCTTCATCGGTTAAGAGGGATGCAAAGGGCTCGTCCCAGAAGCCTATGGGGTCCCATTGCCATGCGGACGACGCCGGTGCGAGAAGGACCTGCATGCGAGGGAGTGAGAGAGAGAGACAGAGAGGGAGTAGAAGTTATGGCAGGGAAGGGATGGGTAGGATGTTGAGTGTAACTAAGCCTTTATTGCCGTGTATGTATCAGTGGAGACAATCCCGCATTTTTCAGAACTATAGACCGGCGGCCGACGTAAGGGTGCATCGCAAGTAGGTCAAGAAAGGGATGACGACGGTTGACGACAGCTCGAAGGGAAAGGTATTCCTGAGTTCCGACGCTACGCAGTGAAGTCTTGCCTGAGACGACCTTTTTTGGTCACTTATTACGCGCCCGTCAACAACATTTCATGTGAAATAGATCGCCATTTACCTGCTGCTGCTGCTGCTGCTGATGCGAGTGTGGCTGCTGCTGACCCCGCGACATGTCCATTCAGCAAGCTAGAACGATGCTAGTTCGACCAGATGTTAGGACTATGACCACCAGAAACGAGTATTATACGATCCTAAAACACCTAATAGCGGATTAGACGAGAGCAATTCACAGAATGCTCAAGGAGTCTCACAAGACTCTCTTGGTTTTCCAGTCTCGAAGACCACTCTCGGGATAAAAAGCTGGGCGGGGAGAAACTAACGGTAAAAGAGTGGAACTCTCTACGGACTGCTACTGTACAGTGAAACAAGCATCCTTCGCGTCCTGCTGGAAGCCGTGAAGCCCACCTAGATGTAGAAAGAAACACCTTCTGGTAGTGATAGAGAACTGTGCGGAGGACACTGCGGTGAGTGAGTGATTGAGTGAGTGAGCGAGTGAGTGAGTGAGTGAGTGAGTGAGTGAGTGAGTGAGTGAGTGAGTGAGTGAGTGAGTGAGTGAGTGAGTGAGTGAGTGAGTGAGCGAGTGAGCGGGTGAGTGAGTGGAGCGGTCCTCTTTGAAGGGCGGATGTGATGGACGAAGGCGGCGAGGTTGTTATTGGTTCGGGTATTGGTAACTTATAAGGGCAGGTGGTATTGGTATCATATGATAACTTTGTGGGGTTGAACTCGGTGGGCAATGGTCCAAAACGCTAAAAACCAAGAATAGTTTCTGACCGTGCTATACCGTTTTGGATCGCGTTAAACAAACCTTAGGTGAATAATCCAAGATCCAAGATCCGCCCTTAGCGAGCAGTAGTCTGCCACCACTCATGAGCCACCGCTACACGTCTTCACCAGCTCGTTCGTTTTGATGCGCTGGACACTTCTCCAGTCACTGCCCGCATGCGACAGCATAACCAGCTTGGACTGTGGGACGCATCACAAGTCGGCAGGCAGTCTGAGGGGCAGCAGCAGAAAGATAGGAAGCCACCTTTTTACGCCAGCACTGTTGTTCCAAGAATCTTATCTTTCTGTCCTGGCGGAGGCAACTGATTTAGAAGTGCCTTTGAATATGTTTACATTATATGGGTATGAACAATCACAAACCTGTACTCGAAATCCTGCTGGAAGACGTCAGCATAACTATTAACGATGTACTCCATAACCTGCTTAATGGAGGATGCTGTTTTGGCGGGGGAAGTCTGCAACCTTGCCTCGTTGTTCTGACGCGGGTTGCCTGATTGGTTGGGCGAGGGGTCGCAACCCCCAACACTGGGGTGGAGCTTGCTCCGAAGATTTTTATGGGCAGGACGGAAAATCGTCTCCATGCCGAGCACGCGACAGCCAATCGCCGTTGGTTTGGATGCCAACAATTGGGTAATTGAGACGAAAGCGATGTTCCCTTTGCTGCCCCCGAGCCGTGCCCATATACCAGTTCGTCTCGGTCGGATCGGAAAACCATCACGGGTCAGTCAGAGAGTGGTCATTCAAGTGTGCTGCTTCTTTCTCTCCGCTCCTCTCCAGCCCAGTCGTCTGCTGCACTCGTGCGTGTTTTGACTGATCCAGGATCCTCCTCGTGCGGAACGTTTTCCACTTCACTTGCTTTATGCACATAACGTCTCCTGTCTCTAGTCACGTTTCCTTGCTTGTTGCCCGCTGTCAGTTGTTAGTTCACCTTGTGCAGTTCAAGGGTGAACTCTCTCAGTCCACTCGACGACATATTTTGGTTCTGACTAGACTCGGTCAGCTATTATGGTATCTACAGACGCGTACCTGAGTGTTTTGATCCGTCAAGGGATTTTTTTTCCTCCTTTCTACCTCCCTCTGTCAGTCCGCTTTCTGTACTGATCTTCCAGAATTCCGCCAGAGGCCCAGCAATTGTAACCCTCCATGGCTTTCTCTGCGCCAATTGTCAGGTCATGGTAACCCTCTTCAAGTTTCCCAGCTTCCCGTCGCGAAACCTTACTCTCTGCCGACATGGAGTTTGCAATAGCTGGTGACACCGCAATCAGTCCGGCCTTCAGACTAGGTGCTTGCACAATTGCGACGACGTTGGACCGTTCGACACCGAGGAGGTTGCCTGGTGGCCTTGCTCGCTCTCAGCACGTCAACTCGTTTCGTCTCTCCGTACCTTCATCTCCTTCAAGACGTGGCTATCGCCGTGTAAGCTCCGTCTCGGTTCCGCGTAGGCGTGAAGTCAGGAATCCCGGGGAGTTGGCTATCCCGCATGGAGATGGCACCCGTGCCGTCGTTCTAGCGAAGGCTGTGCGGAAATCCGGGTGGGATAGGTTCCACAGCGTGAGCGTGACACCCGCAGCATGGCGAAAGCTGGAGTCCCGGCGATTGTTTCGACTCGGGAGTCCAGACAACACGGGGGTTAGATCCCGGCAATCTTTAAGCCCATTCCGAAAGGTTCGAGCCAGCGGCTTCCACGGAGGATCAGGCGAAAGCACCAGTGGAGGTTCGGACGATGAATTGGCGTTTGATGAGAGGGTTGCAATTGGCGGCACTGACGGGAACCAAGTAGCGGCCAGTTGGGTCACCAACAATCGCAGAGGCGGCGGCAGCAGCATGTCTGAAAGCGGCGGGGGACGTATAGAGTCAAAACACTCGAATGGGAGTTTTTTTGGAAAAGAGTCGCAAGGCGCGATAGCCGAGAGCAGCGCCAACGGCTGGACGGCTGCCGCACATGCAGCCGCGGAAGCACCTGAGGTGGAGTGGAAGGACAAGGATAGTAAAACGTCGCGATTGCCTGCTGGAGTTGCGAGAGGCGCGGGAGAAGCACGGTTGGAAGATCTGGATTCAGACGGTTCTAGAGCACGCCATGCGGCGCATGGGGAGGTGGGAAGCGGCGCAGAGTGGTTAGGAAATGTGGAAGGAGTGGTTAGCGCGGCGGAGGTGAACGCGATGGATGGAGCAGGCTTCGAGGATGCGAGTACCCTGACGCTAGAGGCCAATGCGTGGGAGGGGGGTGCTCTGGGCGGAACGGAAGAGAAGCAGCCATGGGCTGCAGAGGGCGAGTTCGATGATAGCATGGAATTGGAATTGCCTGGGGATGGGGATGGGGAAGGGGACGGAGAGGCAGAAGGCAGTCATATGGACGCAGCAGGAGCGGGGGGAGAGTTTGGCGGCGGGGAGGAGGGGGCTCGCTGGGGAGCTGCGGGGTCGTTTGCGGGGATAGCAGCGCGGGTGATGGAGGTGGAGTGGGAGGACGTGGCGCGCAAAGCAGTGCGGCGCGCCGTGCTGCTGTTCGTCATTGCGCGCCACTTCGTCGCCTTCATGCTCGCGTCCGTCGCCGCGCTGCCCGGGCAACTGCGACGAGCCTGGTGGCCGCATGACGCGCCTGCGGGGGCGCCGGCAGGGGGGGCGAGCGGAGCAAGAGGCAGTGGAGCTCTGGGTGGTAGTGGTGGTGGTGATTCTGTAAGGGCGGATTTGCATGGGTGGGACTTGGATGTCCGCGCTGGTGTGGGGGGGGTTGGTACTAGTGGAACTAGCGCCAGCAGACGCAGGAGCAGGGGCAGCAGCAGGAGGAGCAGGAGTGGCAGGGTTACCGAGGGGATGCACGTCGGCTCTCAACAATCCCATGGCACAAGCATGCCTTCACCAGCGGTCACCTCTGGCTCTGACCATGGACGGATTCCGGTTAGCTCAGAGGGTCCTGCTCGTACAGGCACCATCGACCACAGTCACTCTCATGCATCCGCAGCTTTTGATTCCCAGGGCCGATTTCCTTTGCCGGAAAACCGTGTTTCTGCTGGAGAGCCCGCTTCTTCCTCGTCTTCCTCTGCTCGTGGTAATTCCGATGCTAGCCCCTTGTCGCGTCCTGAAGGTCCCGCCTCTCCACCTTCTAGACTTCCACAGATGGCGGCAGCGGCAGCAACCGCGGCAGCAGCAGAGCTGGCGAGGGAGGCTCCCTCGCATTCAGAAAATGTACTAACCGGTGTGGGTGGAGGTGAGAGGAGTGGCCAGGAGACGCTGAATGGTACGGCAAGGGGAAGAGCAGTAGGAGCAGCAGCAAAAGCTGCTGCTGCTGCAGCAGGAAGAGGAGCAGGAGGAGGTGGTGGTGAGAGTGAGGCGGATAAGGTGTTTGCAGCAGCAGAGGCGGAGGGGAAGAGTCCGCAGCAGCTGTTTTCAAACGAAGCAAGGGTGGGGAAAGTCATGCCTGGTGGTGGTGAGAGGAGCACAAGCGCTGGCGGAGAGGCTGAAGACTCATCGAAAGAGGGGGGAAAGGGGTCAGCAGGGATGGGAGCTGACGCTGACGCCCCAGCAGGTGCATCAGCAGACGGCGCAGCAGATGCAGCCGAAGCAGCAGCAGCCGCAGCCGCAGCAGCAGGAGAGAGGAGGCGCGCGCGGGGCAAGGGGAGGCCAAAGCGAGCAGGAGCAGGAGCAGGCGCGGGAGCAGCAGGGCGTGTGGAGGAGGACGATCCGTGGGACGTGGTGAAGCGGTTTTGGAGCCAGCCGGCGGTGGTGAAGCTGCGCATGTCCATCACCATGGCCAACCTCACCATGGGCCTCCCCACCTTCCTCGCTCACGTACTGCCCTCGCTGCGCCATGTAGGGGGCGGGGGGTAGGGGGGTGTGGGGGAGCGCTGGACCATGGGGTGTGTAGGGGACGCAAGGGAGGCAGGGGATGTAGCGGGACTTGCTGCAACTTGCTGCAACTTGCTGTCATGTTATCCCCCACCCCGTAAACTTGCTCTTGAATTCTTCCCCCCTCCTCCCCCCATACTGTTCTCTCTCTCTCTCTCTCTTCACCACTCCCACTGCTTCCCATTTGTCTGCTCTCGCTTCCTCTCACCACTCCCACTGCCGCTGCGGTCCACATGTGTGCACTCTATCTCCCCCATGGCAGGTGCGGTGGCACATGGTGCCGTTGCTGCACGACCTGTCGCTGCCCATGCTAGCGCCCATTCTCTTTGGCTCGGGCATTGTCTTCAAGTCCGTGGTCAACAACCTCGGCATCGTGCTGCCCCGCCTCGGGTACCGCCCCTGCCCTCCACCCTGCCCATCTGCTGTTCCCTCGTCCGCATGGCCCCTCGATCACATGCCGCCTCATTCGCATGCCCCCTCGTTCGCATGGGACTGCCGGCCATGGCCCTACCCACACACGCCTCCTGAATCCCTTCGTTCCTCCCCTGCTTCTCTTTCTGTGTGGGTGTGGGTTCGCGTGTGTGTGTGCATGCATGCATGTATGGGTGCATGTGGATATGGACATGCCTCTATGGTTGCATGCATCTGTACATGTGTGTGTATGTGTTTGTGTGCATGCATGTGTGTGCATGCGTATGTGTATGCATGTGTGCTTGCATATGTGTGCATGCACGGTTCCACACATGGCAGCATAGCGGTGGTGCTGCTGTGGGTGCTGTGGGGGTGCAACTGTGTGTTACAGCGCGCCATCACCAAGACAGCGGAGCGGCGCCTAGTGGACCGCAATGTCAAGGACGTGCTAGTGCTCGCCGTCGAGTGAGTGCCCTTGCGTCGAGTGAGTCTGCCCTGCCATCCAATGTCTTGACTTCTGAGGTGCCTCAAATGTCGACGCCTGGTGGACCGCAATGTCAAGGACGTGCTAGTGCTTGCCGTCGAGTGAGTCTGCCCTGCCCATTTTTTAGGCGCCTCACAAATAGACTAGTGCTCGCCGTCGAGTGAGTCTGCCATGCTCAGGGCCCCCTTCTCTCAACTCAACCCCACAGCAATGGCTGGTTAAGACAGAGGCCGTTCATATGCTCCTGACCTCCTGACCTCCGCTTCTGCTTCTCCCAGGGTGGTTCAGTTCAGTTCGGTCCTACTCAGTCTAGGTGCTTCTCCCATCGCCCGCCCGCTCTTGTCCGACTGCTCTTGACCTCCGTGTCCCTTGCTGCCTCTGTACTCCATGCGTACAGGATCACAATGACAGCAGCAGCAGTGGTGACAGTCCTATCCAGGTACATGCTGCTCACTCATGCACGCCATGAAAGACCGTGCAACAGCAGCAGTCTTTAGAGAATTGTCAAATGAGTCTCCACTCCTCGCTCGCTGCTCCCCTTTTGACCTGGTGATACGTGTGTTCAAGTGACTGTAGAAGCGCACTGATGAGGCTCATTCAGAGCACCCATTGAACTACCTCACGTGTCAGCAAAATCGTCACAACCTGGTCTTCCTCCCCCCCCCATCTCTGCTCCCTCCCTCCCTTCATTCCCCACGTCCTTCTTTCCCCATTCCGCCAACCTTCACGTGACAGTGTGGGCATCCGCATATCAGCTCTGGTTCTGCCTCTCTTCATCGTCACAGCGCTGGCAGGAAAGGTATGCATTGCTGCTCTGCCTTGCTTGCCTGCCATCAACCACATCTTCACCCCCACCTCCCCCCCCGTTCCCCCCCGTTCCCCCCCCCTCCCTTTACCCGTGGCTTTTTTTTCCCTAGCATTATGCGGTGTTGTTCTGCTTGTCACTTGCCAACATTCGCAACACCTCAAAATCGCCCGTTTCAATCATTCGTTATCATACCCAAGTTGCTCCCAATCTAAGGCTCCAGTGGCTGTATTCCGTCTCTCCCCAAACCCTCAACCCCCCTGCTCCACAGGACTTGTGGCACAACTACTTCGGTGGCTTCTTTCTTTTTGCTGCCCGGCCATTCCGGGCAGGCGACACATTAGCGCTGCACTGCTCGCTCTCCCCCTCTGCGCCTTCCACGCCAGCAGCACACGTGCCAGTGGGCACAGGGTGGTTCGAGGGTGTGTGTGAGTCAGTGGACCTGCGCTTCACTGTCGTCCGCTCCGGCACGCTCCGTCTCTTTGTGCCCAACGCCCGGTTCCTCTCTCACGAGTTTGTCGTGCTCGACACCTCACCCCTCAACAAGACGCCTTTCTCTCCTCCACCCGCCTCCTCGCCCACCTTCCCCTCTCGCCGGTCGCCTCCCCCCTCCCCTCCCCCATCACCCACATCACACTCCTCTCTCCTCAGTTTCGCCCCTTCTTTCTCCCGTCGCAAGGCCACCCCCAGTGCGGAAAGTATCACGGTTTCTACTTCAGATGCAGGCGGTGCTGTTGGTGGGACTGAGACACCAGGAGTGAAGGAACGAGTGACACATGCAGGGACAGGGACAGGGGCAGAGGCAGGGGCAGGATCAGGGGTAGGTTCAGGGGCGGGGCCAGGTATAGGGGCGGTAAGGAATGCAGAACAGGAGGCGAGCAGGAGGGCGGGGTCGAACGGAAGCTTGCCTCACCTCCATCGTAACCTGAGCTTGGGAAGGGTGTCTGCTGCTGGTCTCTCCCTATCCCCGTACTCTACCCTCTCCTCGTCCCGTGCCCCACCTTCTCCACCTTCTGCCAGCCGCCCCGTTCCCTCAGATGCACCCGGCAGAAGCAGCAGCAGCAGCAGCACCACAGGCGTGCGTGGTGACTGGAGCAGTGGAGATGCAGGGGGTGATGGTGGCAACGGCAGCAGCAGCAGTGTGGGTGGTGGTAATGGCGCTGTGAAAAGCCGGCCTGGCGGGTTTGGTGGAAGTGTGGTTGGTAATGATGGACTGTCGCCACTGCAGGTGCAGCAGCACGGCCCAGCAGCAGGCAGGCAGACAGCTCGTGAGGGCAATGGGCATGCGGGCACGGGCGGTGCGTGGGGCAGTGGGAGGGATGTGATGGGAGAGGCAGCGGTGGGAAGGGCAGGAGAGGAGGAGGAGGAGGAGCTGGATGGTTTAGCTGCTACTCTCGCCACCGGTGCATCTATTAGCCGGGTGATTGGGCGGAGCGAGAGCAGGAATTATGGGAGCAGCAGCAACGGTAACGGCAACGGAAACGGAAATGGGAATGGCAACGGTAGCAGTACGAGCAAGGATGAGTCTGAGAGTCGCATTTCGGGGGACAGTGACAGCGAGAGTGAGAGCGATGGGGAGGATGACAGTGGGAGTGATAGAGGGTGTGATCCTTGGGAGGAGGACTGTCTTGCTAGCTGGGCAGCACTGGGAGACTTTCCTCCTGGTCCCTTTTCTCCGCCTAAGATGCCTCCACCTCCCCCTTGGGCTCGAGGTAGGTTCAAATTGAAAGGCATGTAGTCTCTAGATTTATTTTTTCCTTTCTTTTTGTAAGGCTACGAAGAGGGATGTAGTGCCTTATTTCCCTTCTCAAACATTAGTGTAAAAGGACCTCTGCCAGTTACCAGCTGCGAGCTGCAAAATGTGATTGCCACACCATATGTATTCTCCCTCGTTATCATATATGTTTTCTATTATTTTTAGTCAGTTGTACTGTATTTCATCGAACAGTCGGTGTCGAGGTTCCTTCAACCCACAGCCGCATCGACGAATCTCAGCCGTCCGCGTCACGTCAGTCGCGCAGCGTCAGCGGACGGATTTTGCAGTTCCGCGGATGGCCCCTCCAGCTCATCCGCAACCGCTTCTTCCAAGCGTTTTTGGGTCACCATCACTTGTTTCGTTGGATGGCGAGAGCGTGGTAACCTTCAGAGCGTCATGTCGCTGGAGTCCGTTCTGAAGCCCCCCTGCTGTCATTTTGTTCACTACCATTTTCAGCACTGTCACTCGCTCTCTTTCCGCCTGCTCCAAAGGTCACAAGAGGCACAGCTCAATTCTGGAGCATTCCGCAGCAAGCTACGTCAATCGGAAATTCTTGACGACACTGCGCGCACGTCGTTGATCCCCCATGGCTGCCCTCTCCTCTTCCTTCCTCTCGACCCCTCTCGCCGGTCGACCTCCTGCTATCTCCCTCCGTCGTTCGTCCGATCGCGCCTTCAACTCTCCTTCCGCCACTCCCCCCATCCGCGCTGCTGCTCCCTCAGAACGCACCGCCACCAGCGCCACCAGTAGCAGCGCCGTCGAGGCTCCGCTGTCGGCGGTATCTTCCCCGCAGCAGCGTCCGCGCGGGGTCTCCGCGCCGGATGCCTCTCCGCGCAAGCCCGCGTGGCTGCGCCAACGCGCGCCGCAGGGGAAGCGGTACGAGCAGGTGCAGGAGTCGCTGCAAGGGCTGCGACTGAATACCGTGTGCGAAGAGGCCAAGTGCCCTAACATCGGGGAGGTGAGATCACGACGGCCTCTTGAATCCCTGACCGCTGTTCCCCCACCTCTCACATAATCTCTTTCGTCACATCCCGCTGAAACCCCCGCATCCTCCGCTATCTCCCACGCACACGCGCACATGCAGATGCACGCACAAGCATACTCGCCCCCCTAAACCCCCGTGCGCGTCCGCCTTTTTTCGTTCCGCGTGTCCGTGCGCGCAGTGTTGGAACGGCGGGCATGGCGACGGCGGCTTGGGCACGGCGACGATCATGCTGCTGGGCGACACCTGCACCAGGGGCTGCCGGTACGCTCGCCTGCCCGCCCGCTCGCTCGCTCGCTCGCCGGCCCGCTTTCTCGCTCGCCTCGCGTGCTCGCGTCCTTGTGGGCTTGCGAGCGTAATCACCCTCACCCACTCTCCTTAACCCGTTTTGGCCGCTTCCCCTTCCGCATTCGTCCACCGCTTTCCGCCTCCTATTGCAATCCACTCTCCCCGCCCTTTCCTTCCTTCCCCTTCCTTCTCCTCATTTTCCCCCGTCTTTCCCCCCCCCCCCCTTTCCATTCGTCCCCTCCCTTCCCCCTCCCCCTTCCGCGCGCAGATTCTGCGCCGTGGCGACGAGTCCCACCCCTGCGCCGCCCGACGAGAACGAGCCTGAAAACACGGCGAGGGCCATTGCGTCATGGGGGTGAGAGGGGGGTGGACCCGGTTGGGCTGGGGGGTGCTGGGGTGGCATGAGCGGATGGGGTGGGGTAGGGATGATGGGGTGGTGGATCGGTGGATCAGGGTATTCAGCGTTCGTTGCTGTGTCAGGCGCACTTGCCGAACTCGTCCTCGTTTTTATATGCTGTTGTTTCTGAATTCGTTTGCTGTCTTCTTCACTCCATCCTCTTCCTTATTCTCGGCTGTTATGTCTGCCCTCCCTCCTCCTCTCTCCCCCTCAGCTTCTCCAACCCTTCCCACTTCCTCATTATCCCCCATGTCTTTCCTTTCACCCCCCTCGCACTGTCCCTCGTGCCTTTCTCCCACCGTCCCTCCCTCTCCTCCGTCTGCCTATCTCTGCATGGCAGGGTGGGGTACATAGTGCTGACGAGTGTGGACCGGGACGACCTGCCTGATGGCGGAGCCAACCACTTTGTGCGCACGGTCAAGGAGCTCAAGGTACCTACTGCCTGCCTGATGGTGTCCCCACGCACCCCCCATCATCAGTTCCTAGGCAACACTCATCACCGCACACATGTTCACATTACACTATTCCTCTTACCGTTCCTCCATTTGAGGCCCATACGAGTCAAACTCTTCTGCTGCTCCTCTCACCAGCCCTCCCCATCTCCTATGATTGTCCTCTGTTTCCCTGCCTCTCTTCCCTCCCTCTTTCCCTTCCCCCCTCCTTCCCCCTCTCCCTCCCTCCCCCTCTGCTTGCTTCCATTCCTTCTCTTACATCCATGTCTCTTGCTCTCTCCAACGCCATGAGTGCAGTCGCTGCGCCCGGACATTCTGGTGGAGTGTCTCGTGTCAGATTTCCGTGGGGACAAGGTGGCAGTGGCGGCGCTCGCCACATCGGGCCTGGATGTCTTTGCACACAACGTGGAGACTGTCAAGAGACTGCAGCGCTCCGTCAGAGACCCACGCGCCGGGTAACGGCTCTGAATCCTGATTTTATCCCCTTAGTGATATGTATTTTCACCGTTCAGTGCACTCTCCCACCGCCCCTGCTCTGTCACTCACCCGGTTTCTCCCCTGTCTGCTCCTCTTCCTTGGTCTCCTCTCATGCAGTTATGAGCAGTCTTTGACCGTACTACAGCATGCGAGGGAGGTGGCTCCGGGCGTGGTAACCAAGTCGTCCATAATGCTGGGGCTGGGAGAGACAGACGAGGAGGTGGCGCAGACAATGAGGGATCTGAGGGATGCAGGGGTGGAGATTGTGACTCTCGGGCAGTACCTGCAGCCCACGCCGATTCACCTGCCCGTGAAGGAGTTTGTCACACCGGCCAAGTTCGATGAGTGGAGGCAGTACGGGGAGTCCATTGGTTTCCGATATGTTGCCAGCGGACCTCTGGTTAGTCGAGCTTGCATGTGGTTGCGATTTTTTGCATCACCGTTTTGTGTATTTCGTGCTTCTACCTCTTCCCAGCGTTGAGAATTTATTCTCCGCTCCTGTGTTTTCTGTTTCCCATTCCATGTTTTCTTTGCTGTTGGTTGACCTTGGTTCCTCATTCCAGGTCCGCTCTTCGTATCGAGCTGGGGAGTTTTTTGTGGAGTCAATGCTTCGAAAGAGGCAGCAGGAGGCTGCAGCTATGCAATAACTAACTTTCTTATGTGAATATCTTGATCTCTTGTGAAGTGATTATTGTAATAGTTTCTCTTCGTATTCACTATTTGCGTAAGGCTAATGTTGCACATGTCAACTATTTGCCACAGCGAATCACAAATACCAGAGGACAACTTCACGAATCTCTTGCTGATCGCCACGTGTCATCATCCGTCGCGCCATGAGCGCCTCCAGTCTCACAGGGTCGCCCGGCCACCGCACAATTCACCTCGCGTTCTCCCCCCCGCCTGGCCCATTTCGAACGCTGCGCATGCCCCTCCCATCCCAGCCATTTGTTTTTCCCCCTTCCTTTCCGCCATTGCTCCCCCCTGTCTATGGTCTGTCCCCTCATCAACTCGTCGTCGCCCCATTTCCCGTCAGAGCCGCCCGTCGACCCAACTGAGCCTCACCCCCATCGTCCCTTCCACTCCAGACCCCGCGGGCTTGGTCTGGTGAATGGTAGGAAAGCATTTCATGTTGGTATGAAGAAACAACTCGTACCGAGCGACCGCATTGCGACCTCTCACGACTGTGAACGATGCGAAATTTCCCAATCATTGTGCGTTATCCCCGAGCGACATCTCACGGAGACGACCGAGCTTGTAACTTTCTCACTAGTGATGAGGTCAGGAACACATCCCAATTATTCCGTTTGGGTCTGAACAGATCTGCACGTGAACTGAATCTGTGGTGTTGCGGTTGCCTCCTGCTTCAGTTGCGTTGGCATCTTCGCATCTCCTCACAAACCGGCCTTCAGAAGGCACGATCAGAAAGGCTGTTACCAGTTGCAGAAAGCTGCCGCTTACGGATCATAAGTCGTAACGTCAGGAGTGTAGGGTTCGAGTGCAATCAGCAGTGAGCGATGCTGGCAACTATCCCTGGAGCCGCACCCCTTTCTTCCAATCCGTTCTTCTCCACATCCATCGCTGGATCCGCCTCGCACGCGTCACTCCATCCCGTCCCGACTCCGCTCTCTGCGCCTCTTAATCCCGTGCCATATCCTTCCTCTTGCTCTTCACACCTCGTTACCTCCCGTCGGCCACCACGCGATCGTGCAGAGAGCAACTCCATCTCCCCGTCTTGTCGCTCCCCTTTCGTATTCGCATCTCAGCCGCACGATCAGCCATCTCCTTCCGTCCGGCAGTCGCCGCCGTCGCTGCGCTCTCGTTTATCTGACGGCCCTTCGTCCATGCACCCACGTGTCCCACAAGTTGCGTCGCTGCACCTTAACGCTGAACCCATCCAGCCGAAAGAATCACAGCAGGATAGGGTAGGGCTAGGACCTGGACCAGTATTGGAATCGGAAACTCGTAATCAAGAATCGTCTGACCCGCCGTGCTCGTGTTCTGAACGTATGGCTCCCCTCTCCGCAACCCACTCAACGGACTGCCCAACCTTGTCTGCGTCGGGACCTCCTCCCGCTGACGGCGCCGCATCAGAATCCGTTCCGGGCATAAACGACGACCTTCTGGTCCACAACGGGTCGCCTTCACCAAAATCCGCTCCCACGTTTTCCGCAATGCCACATCTCCCCCCGCGTCGATCCGCTGCTTCCGCCGGACACTCCGCCGTCTCTATGAAACCGTCTCCCCCCTCCACCGACGCTTCCCTCTCGGGATCGTCGCGGAGCGACAGTATGGCACCTGGAGAGATAGACTACTCTCAGCTGCCGTCCGATCTGGACCCGAGCCGGCTGCCGAGACACGTGGCTATTATCCTGGATGGGAACTCGCGGTGGGCGACGCGCAGGGGGTTGCCTAAGATGATGGGGCACGATGCGGGGGTAAACTCTGTTAGGGAGACGGTGCGGCTGTGCGGGGAGTGGGGCATTCGCGCGCTCACTGTGTTCGCGTTTTCAACCGAGAATTGGGGACGCCCTCAGGTAAGCACGTGGCAGAAAATATGGTTTCCTGGTGTGTCCTGTATGGATGTGGAAGTTGGCGAATGCCACGTAGGCAGGACGTGTTGTGACGTGTGATGTGCGCACGTGAGGGATTGCTAATGACGGCCGAGGGTTACGATTTCCTAATTTTGTATCCAGCCTTGCCTTCTAGAATCACTTCAACACAAAACCGGAAAAACAAATTTTGATTTCTCGTATGGTGCGGTTCGCGCACACCTCGCCTCACACTCCTTCCCTGCATTCACTACCCCCACTTCCCTCGTCCTTTACCGCAAAGCACCAGCCGTTGTGTCCCTTCGGTCCCGTCTTTCCTCCCTCGAATTCCTCCTTTTCCACACGCCCACCTACTCCGGAACTTCCAAGTAATAATTCATAAGTATAAGAGAGACGCCCTGGTTACAATGAAAAAGGAACCTCAGCGCAGGCCATTGTGCTATGCTGCCCCTAGCCGTATCACTCCCCACCTTCACTACTTTCCTCGTTTACCTGCCCTCTTGGTGCCTTGCCTGTGTGCATATGTGGGGGGAATGGTCGGGGATGGATGCATGAGCAGGAGGAGGTTGATTTCATCATGGGATTGTTGGCCACCCTGTTTGATCAAGAACTAGATGATCTTCACAGGTACGCCCACAACTATCCACAACCCTTCCGAACCATTTCCCTCATCACCCACTGCTCAAACTGTTTTTTTCTTCCTCGTCCGTGCAGCCTATCCTGCTTTTTTTCTTATATGGCCAGATGCAGTTTGCTTGCAAGAACCATTGTAGCTACACTTGCTCTATCACTGACAGAAGGCAAATGAATCAATTTCGAGTTTCCTCGTCTAAATCCACTGCTGCTCCATTCTGTGCTCTCAGGAATCGGGTGGCAGTGCGTGTGATTGGTGATAGATCACGCCTCAGCCCTGAGCTGCAACGCAAGATAGAGGCTGCACACGTCCGCACACAGAATAATGACGGGTTGCGTTACAGCATAGCAATGAGCTACAGTGGCCGCCTAGATATAGTGCAGGCGTGCAGGAGAGTCGCAGAGCGAGTGTCTGCCGGTGAGCTCCAACCCAATCAGATTTCTGAAGCCATTTTGGAACAAGAGCTTTCAACGAGTTGGCTCGGACCAGACCTGGCTAACCCTGACCTGCTGATCCGGACGAGTGGGGAGCTGCGGCTGAGCAACTTTCTCATGTGGCAGTCGGCTTACACGGAGCTATACTTCTGTGACACTCTCTGGCCCGACTTTGGGGCGCCCCACCTGCATGCGGCACTCCTTGACTACCAGCAACGAGATCGCCGCTTTGGTAGGCGCAAGGAGTCCAGCTGAAAGGGTGACATAAAGCATTTGCGGCTGTCTGCTGTGGTCGGTTTTTTAACTTACAATGTCTCCTCCAGCTGGATGGAGTGCTGTGCTGAGGCTTGTGTTTCAAAGGATTTTCACTCGGTTTGTTTCTTGAAAGGAAATGTAAGTAGTTAATTTTCTTACAGCATGAACAGCCCCATTCACGAAGCCACTAATGTCGGAGCAAGGGTGGTGATTTGGGACGGCTCTCTCCCCCTAATCAGATGAAAGGATCCAACCAATCGTAGAGCTCTGTTCGGTGCAAGATCATTGTTACTGTACAGGAGCAAGCACTGTTTGCCGATGTAACCTCCAGCCAAGTGAAGCGAGTGATGACAGATACCTCCAAGAAGAAAATCCAATTTCATCACGACTGCTGATGTGGGATGGGGTTAGGGCGGATCATTTTCGTTCGTTTGAATACGGCTTTACGAGGTTTGTCACGGTGTAAAACGGTATGAAAATGAAAATGAAAATGAAAGCGTTTCAACAAAGCCCCCCCTTTCCGCTTGTCCGATATCCGTTCCCGCATTCGAAAACAGCCAACCTAGGAAGAAGCAGTTTCGCCATCAATTTACAGTTTCATGTCCGCCCTCCCCTACCTCTCTTGTGAATGCGTGTGCAATGTGCTCTCTAATTTACCTCCAATCTCTCCAGTTTCATGCTTTCTTCGTGTCCGAAGTCGGGGTTACTAGGTGGGAGCTTTCAAGGTCCAAATAGCATTTCGATGAACGCAGGACTCCGTGCTATTGTTTGCGCCCATGACTCCTTTCTCCGCATCCACGTCTGCCATTCGCGGTCCGTCGGACTTCCCTCACGACGGAGCTTTGTCGGAATCTGCTTCGAAACTTAACGATGCTCTTCAGACTGTTCTTGCGAACAAAATTGTCCCCAGCCCGCCGTCGTCAAAATCCGAAATTACAGAAACGCAACTACTATCCGCGATGCCTTACCTTCCCCCGCTTGATTCCACAGCTTCCGCCGATGTTTCCCCGCGCGATACCGCTTCGAAAGCGTCTCCCTCCACTACCTGTACCCCGTCGACACCCCCAACAAGCGCCGGGAGTGCCTCTGGACCAAACGAAATAGACTACTCGCAGCTGCCGTCCGATTTGAACCCGAGCCGCCTGCCGAGACACGTGGCAATCATCCTTGATGGGAACTCGCGGTGGGCGACGCGCAAGGGGATGCCTAGGATGCTGGGGCACCTGGGGGGAGTGAATGCGCTGAGCGACGCTGTGCGACGATGCAGCGACTGGGGCATTCGCGCGCTCACCGTGTTCGCATTCTCCACCGAGAACTGGAACCGGCCCGAGGTAGTAGCGTGACGCTGCGTGGGTTAGCATATGCACATAGCTTGGTAGTGGGCGTCGGAACTGGGTGCTTTTATCCGTGATTTCCTGTTTGGGTGCAAACAACAACAGTAGTGAATTCCTGTTCTCATTTCTGTGTTCATACAGATACGTCGATAGCTGGGAAATTGTTGAACAAAGATGGAAAATGGTTTTTTGTACTGATGATGCACCGTGAACCACAGACATTGGACAATTTTCAATCCCATGACTTCATACCTGGTCATTCCTGTTGCTACCATCCTCAACCCCATCCTTTATTTTTCTTCTGCCTCCTGGCCTCTTGCGTGTCCGGGTGAGTGGGGAGTGGGGTGTTTGAGCAGGCGGAGGTTAATTTTTTAATGTCGATGATGAGCAGGCTGTTGGTTGAGAAGCTGGATGAGCTCCACAGGTTTGGGCTGTCTTTGATGTCTTGTCTTTCAGGCATTGTCATTATGTCTGGTCTCCCATGTCTACATCCACTGATGTTCTGATGTTTCATCTCACTGTTGATGCATCCCTTCACTCCCATTGTCTACCCCCTTTGTTTTATCTTCTCGACTCAGTCAAGGAGCAGTGGTGCGCTTTATAGGCAACATATCAGGACTAGACCCTGAGTTGCAGCATAGAATCCAAGTTTTACAAGATACGACACAGGACAATCTCGGACTGCATTTTTCTGTATCCTTGAATTACAGTGGCCGTCAGGACATAGTGCATGCGTGCCAGCGGATAGCAGAGCGAGTGGCAGCTGGCGAGCTCCAGCCTGAGCAGATCTCAGAGTCTCTAGTAAGCAAAGAGCTTTCAACAAGCTGGCTCGGACCGGACCTGGCTAACCATGACCTGCTGATTAGGACGAGTGGGGAGCTGCGGCTGAGCAACTTTCTGCTGTGGCAGTCGGCTTACACGGAGCTCTACTTCTGTGACACTCTCTGGCCCGACTTTGGGGCGGCCCACCTGCATGCGGCACTCCTTGAATACCAGCGACGAGACCGCCGCTTTGGCAGGCGCAAGGAGTCTGGCTAGCTAAGTAGAGTGATGAAGATTCGGGGAGGAGAAGGTATTTTGGTTCTTCCTTTGTAATATCTGGAATATTCAAGGGGGAAGGTGCACTTTTTATTACCGTAATCAACCAAGCCTTGTACCCATGCTTGTTACCGGAAAGGAAATGCATCTTACTTTGGTGGGGTAAACATTCTAAAGAACGGATTGTTAAAATAGCGGTCCCCATTTGCCATAAACACCGCATCTCTCTGCACTACTCTCACAGGCCATTCCACTGTGGCAGATCCTCAGGGGTCAGACTTTCAGAATGGTATCCCTTGAAAGGCCGCAGCACATGGTGATGATTTAGAAACAGCTGGTTGGTCAGCACCTGGGTAGAGTCATTACACATTGTTGCAGGCTGCGCAGAACCCAAGGTTCGATCGCCCTGGGGATTGTTGTTTTCCCCGATCGGTCATGGCTCTGTGCGGTGATGTCTACATTAGCGGGGATGCGATTCGGTGGCGAGTCAATCGTGAGAAGCTTGTGTCGTAGTACAAGTAAAGCGTGGAGTGGAACATCCTGGAAAATAACCAAAAAGTCATGGAACCGAAACCGTACGGTCGCAGTTGCCTTGCCCGTTGCTTCAATTTTTGTGTTGGGACCTTCTGGTCTGGGTCAGCTCAGAGCCGTCCTTCAGGAAGCAGGATGCTTCTCCAGTAGTGTAGATATCGAGGGCAACGAGCGGTGAGCAATGCTGGCAACTATCCCTGAAACCGCACCCCTCTCTTCCGATCTGCTCTTCTCCGCATCCATCGCTACCTCCACCTCCACGCGTCACTCCGTCCCGTCCTGGTCCCTGTGCCTTTTGATCCAGTTGCGTATCCTTCCTTTTTCTCTTCCCATTTTCCCCTCTTCTCGCTCATTCGCATCCCAGCCGCACGATCAGCCATCTCCTCTGTCCAGCAGTCGCCGCCGTCGCTACATTCTCCACCACCTGACGACCCTTCGTCCATGCACCCACGTGTCCCACAAGTCGCGTCGCTGCAGCTTCACGCTGAACCCATTCAGCCAAAGGAAATACATCAGGATAGTGCAGGGCTACTAGGACCGGGACCAGTATCAGATTCATTTAGTAGCAATGAAAAATCGTCTGACCCGCCATGCTCTTGTTCTGGACGTATGGCTCCCCTCTCCGCATTCCCGGCTGCGAGTCCAGTGTCGTCTGACTGTCCACCCTTGTCCGATTTGGACCTCCTCAAGCTGACGGCGCCGCGTCAGAACCCGTTCATCTCATCAACGACGGATTAGTCAACAGCGGGTCGTCTTTACCCAAACCCGCTCCCACGTTTTCCGCAATGCCGTGTCTCTCCCCGCGCCGATCTGCTGCTTCCGCCAGAGACTCCGCCGTCTCCACGAAACCGTCTCCCCCCTCCACCGACACTTCCCTCTCGGGATCGTCGCGGAGCGACAGTATGGCACCTGGAGAGATAGACTACTCTCAGCTGCCGTCCGATCTGGACCCGAGCCGGCTGCCGAGACACGTGGCAATCATCCTGGATGGGAACTCGCGGTGGGCGACGCGCAGGGGGTTGCCTAAGATGCTGGGGCACGATGCGGGGGGGAAATCTCTCAGAGAGACGGTGCGGCTGTGCGGAAATTGGGGCATTCGCGCGCTCACTGTGTTCGCGTTTTCGGCGGAGAACTGGGGACGGCCTCAGGTACGCACGGGGCAGACAATGCGGTTCCCTGGTGTGACCTGTACGGATGTGGAAGGTGGCGAATGCCACGTAGGCATGCCGTGTTGTGACGTGCGCACGTGAGGGAATGCTACCGACAGCCGAGATGACCTTGAAGTTACGACTTTCAAATATTTCTTCAGGTTCCTTCCTTTCCCTGCTGTGGCGACGCCCGTGGTAACTCTTATCCGGATTTGCCTTCTAAAATTCTTGAAATATTGGGTTTATTCTTAGTGTGGTTTGCGCACACTTCCCCTCACCCTCCTTCCCTGCATTCCCTACATCCTCTTCCCTCGTCCTTTCCCCCCATAGAACCAGCCGTTTTGTCCCTTCAGTCCCGCCTTTCCGCCGCTCGTCTCCCTCTTTTGCCACAGACTTACCTACTCTGCAACTTCCAACAAATCATTCAGGACCTACGAGAGAGAAGCCCTGGTTCCCCTCAGCGCAGGCCGCTGTGGCATGTTGCCCCTAGCCGTATCACTCCACATCCACACTACTTTCCTCCTTTGCCTGCCCCCTTGGCGCCTTGCTCGTGTCGATGTATGTGGGGGTAATGGACGGGGATGGATGCACGGGCAGGAGGAGGTCGATTTTATCATGGATTTGTTGGCCACTTTCTTTGATAAAGACCTGGAGGAACTTCACAGGTGCACATAACTATTGACAACCCTTCTAAATCTGGTCTCCTATGCGTTATTTTCCTTCTTCCTTGTCCGTGCAGCCTATCCTGTTTTTTGGTTGATGGCCAGATGCAATTTGCTTGCAACAACCACAGTACCTACACTTGCTCTGTCGCTAATGTAAAATAAATAAATCAAAATTGAGTTCCCTGCCTATATCATCTGGTGCTCCGTTCTGTGTTCTCAGGAATCGGGTGGCAGTGCGTGCGCTTGGTGATAGATCACGCTTCAGCCCTCAGCTGCAGGACAAG